ATAGTGTTTTTCAGTTTTCCAATTACAGTATCGATACTGTAAATTCTAATTTTTCACACATACAAAACTGAATATATCACCTTTACTCTGCAGTTTCTTCCAGTGTTTCTGTGAATGATTTCATCATTGATTTGTACAGTTGTGCAGAGTTAGCTCTTTTTTCCTCCTCATCCTCATCAGTATAGCAAACCAATAAGCACATTCTATTGATTGTATCTCCCTGAGTCATAACTTTATCTGTCTTTAATTATAGCTGTTGCTGCTATATCAGTTTTGTTTTCCATTGTTTCTTCCAAGTATTTATTCCAGTATATTAGTTGTAGTCCATTCTTTACCCTAAACCTAGCCCTTACAAGTCCTACAGTCTTGAATACAATGTTAAGTAATTTGTCTGACACATAAGGTCTTTCATGAGCTTAGTTCAGTTTATCTTTTGTAATGTAATGACTACGAGTTTGGCCTCTTGAGTCTGCTGGACTCATGATCCTCTTGGGGATCCACCACTTAGTGCCTTGTCTTATCTGCACACTGGAGCAGGTAGTGATAACCTTCAAGATTGTTACAAGAATTAAGTGTGGATACATGAAAAATGCTTCCTACAGCATGGAGTATACTACAGTATACTTACTACAGTACCTATATACAGTAAGCACTCAGGGTCAAGTGATTATTTAAGTATTGTCGCTTTCATATTCTAAGCCAGGGACGGACATTGTCTGTTAAATGGGCATGTCTGTTGTCTTAGTTACTCTTCTCTCATTGCTGGGACAAATACCTGACACTCAAAATGAAGGAAGGAAAGGTTTATTTAGCTGACAGTTACTGGAGGTTTCAGTCCATACTTAGCTCACTCCAAGGCAGGCTGGCACGTGGCAGAGAGCAGCAGCCTTTCATGGCGGCAGCAAAGAACAGAGAGCAAAATGGAGGAGTAACAGCAAGAATGGCAGCAGAGAGGAAGTCTGTCTCTCTTAAATTGCATTTAGGCTCTCTGCTCCAGGCTGGGGGAAGTACTCACACCCATAATCCCAGCAGTACTAAAACCCATAATCTCAGTGGATCAAGAGTTAATCTCAAACTCTAAAAGTCCCTGCCCCATGACTACATGAGGCTTTGAGGGCACAACTAGACACAAACCATAACATCTGTATTCCATAGCAACTGTATAAATAGAAACAGGTAGTCACAAGCTTTGGTTTGCTAATCCCAATCTCACTGTGGCCCTAAAGATACTTTTTTAGGACAACATTACTGAAGTACTTACTGTTCCTGTTCTCCGTTAAACCTTGATACATGCTACTCTTTTTTTTTTTCCTCACTTACCATTTTTTAATTTTAAGGAGAAAAACATATCTCAAAACAAGATAATAGGAGGGTAACAATGGTTAATATATTACATATTACATATGGCTTTTCGCTTGTTTTTCCTCTGTCACACTGTTGCTTAACAGAGGCTTCATTATTTCATCAGCTTCTCCTGCTTATACTCTGGGAAGTGTTTCCTAACTTCTGGTTATGCATCTTCTGGTTTGCATCTGCAGTGCTCATAGCCTATTTCCACTTATTGCTCAGCAGTCTCAGTTCAGATTTTGTGCTGTTTCCCTAGCTTTTGACTTGAGTTTATTCAGATCATCTCCATCACCACACACAATGCTTGGTACATTTCAGCTTGTTTATTTCAGTCTTTAATTCCCACAGATGCCTGGGCTCCATAGTCAAATTCAGAACCTTAAGTGCAAGGTTTTGACCCAAGCATTTGCATTTAAGTACTGTGTACCAAGTGTCCAAAACATACCTGTTGAATAAAGGCATGAAAGTCTAGTGAGGAAGTTTCATGTGTACATGCTTTATTCCATTTATGATACTTTATAATTTTTGCCACTACCTAATCAGTGTAATATATGATTATCTTGCTTCTGTTGCAGATACGCAAATATATGCTTAGACTATTCTATTGTTAAAAATCATAGTAGCTCAAATGCAGCAGGCAAGATAGATAATCACAGCACACATTGGACTTTGGTACATAAAGGAATGGGGTGAAAGGGGCTTGCAAATATTGATAAAACTGCCAGAGTGTAATGTAGCCTTCAACAGTGCTACTGAGAAAGAAGTTTCCTTCCTGGATGATGAAATTTGGAGAATGTCACTAAAAATGGTGAATGGTTTCATTAATTGTGCCAAATCCCTGCATTATCTTCCTCTGAATGATGAGAGTTGCTTTTGTGATTTCAAGAATAGACTACATTTGTATTGTTTCTTTAATATTTGCTAACTTGCCTCATATTCGTAGTTCTTTAAAAGTGGAGATAGTTCTTACAGTTCTTATGGGAATGTTATGGTTTCTGGCTCTTTTTTGTGACCTGGTTTTTTCATCATGAAAGATAATATTTTAAAATTATAAGTGGGAAATTTCTACTAAGGATATTAACTTTTGTATATACCTGGGTTTTTGTATTACAATGTTTTAGATGAAGATAGAAGTTTGCTTTTAGTCCACATAGGAAACAAATGACAAACTCAAGTAATAGTAGTGAGTTTAATGAAAGAACTTAAAGGTTGAGGAAGGATTAAGGGATCAAGACTCAAGACAGGACAGTGACCCCCCAGGACCTTCACTGTCCCATACCTGAAAGGACCTTAAACAGCTGTGGCTAGAACCTGGCAAGAGCTGTGTCCTTAGCAGAAGGACTGCCCCGCTGGAGCTGTGGCCTGTGGTACAAGAATGTAGCCACTGGCATCTAAGAGCACCAAGGGGAAAGAGAAGAGAAGGGAGAGCCCCGTTCCTCTCACCCGCTCCCTCAGTGTTCTGCTGCTGCTTCCCATTGCCTTTGCAGCTCAGCCAGAAGAGAGACTAGGTGATGCATTGGTGGTTCAGTTCCTGGGGCAGAGAACAGGTGCAAGAATGGTGGGGTCTGCACTGTCCAGCAAGACCCTTATTATGTATGTATGTGTGGTTTTCATTTTTAATACTTACATTTTTTGGGTTTTCATTTTCAGCTCCCACATGTCTTTGTGAATTGTGTTGAATGCTTTACTCTAAGGCTGCTTTTGGAACAAATTTTGAACAAGTTGAGTCGTCTTAGTTCCTCAGAGGAAGGATGTTCTACTGAAATAAACTGTGAAACATTTAATGACTTTGTTCGCTTGTTTAAAGAAGTCACCCAAGATGAAAATCTCAAGAATCAGACTGTATATATTGTAAGTAATATAATTTGATTATATCCTTTCTTTGAAAACTGAATTGTGTATTAGATCAGCTTCCCCATAGTATTGTGCATCTCATTTTGTATAATGCCCTGTGCCAGGTGCTTTAAAGATACAAAAATGTGTTAAAGCTATTCCTTATCTGAAGGGAGCTTCAGTAGAAGCATTACAGTGCACGTGTGCACATGACAGCATGCAGCCTGTGATAAGTGGTAACCATGAGGTGCAAAGTACTGGCCTGGGGACATCTGGCACAGCTTCCTGAGGTGATAGCATTTGAAATGGCCCTAAGAGAAACAGATGAGGAAGCTAAAGAGGAATTTCAGGTGTAGGAGTGATGTGACCAGTGGCATGCAGATGACAGTGGAGTCCAGAGAATGCCACATTGGTTTAGTAGGTTTTAAATTATGAAGAGAGAAAAGGAAGAATTGAAAAGTGAGGGGTGAAGTCATGAAAGGCCTTGAAAATTGTAGCAAAGTAGTTTGTTTCATTTCCTAGGCAGTAGAAGGAGGTAGTAAAGATTTTAGAGCAAATATTATGGGGTAATGAAGATTGCTGTGAGGGCAAGGGCAAGGGAAGGAAGGACTTGATGACTTGAATGGTTTTGAGGCTGCTATATTTATATAAGACTTGTGGGCCTGTATTAGAGTTCCAACAGAAGCAGTGAAAAGAAATCGAGACGGCAGAGGTTGAATTTGTCACTTGTGTATGAGATGGATTTGTGTAAGAAGGCGAGCTGTTTGATGTTATGTGAGCTAAGTTGGAATTTAATTGTTAAATCAATATGAAGACTACTAGCACATGATTGAAAATAAGTATAGTAGTACTCCCTGTGTATGGATACATTTTAAGACCACTGGGGTCAACTGAAACCATGACTAGTGCCACACACTGTAGATAAAGGTTTTCCTGTACATGCATATCTAGGATAAAGTTTCATTTATATGTTTATATGGCACAATAAGAGATTAACAGTAATTAATGAATCAATCATAGTGTAGTTAAAACTGTATGGATGTAGTCTCTTTCAAAATTCTCTATTATACTATCTTTTCTCTTTGAAACTTCTCTCTGTCGTATCTAAATTGCCAACATCACTACTGATGTACTTTTGAATGAGAGTTAAATGATAACAGAGATACTAGAACATAAGCAATTCGATACCATGATAGTGGGGCTTATAAATGAGTGACCAGCCAGTGAAGTGTGGATCCACCTGTCAGAGGGATTGTTCACATCCCGGGTAAGACAGAGCAGAACAGTGAGTGATTTCTTTGCACTACTTAAAATGGTGTGTAATTGAAAATTCATGAATTATTTATTTCTGGAATTGTTTTGTTTAATAATTTTTTTTGGGGGGGAAGGCCTACAGGGTATTCAGGGTCTCACTACTAGATTGGACTCATAGTGATCCACCTATTCACAGCCTCCCAAGAGCTGGGATTACAAGGGCGCACCACCATGCCTGGTCTCAATTGCCATCTCGCTCACCATGGGGGTGGGGCTGGCATGGCAGGCTTGGGATTGAACCCTCGGCCCCGGCACCTGCAAGCAGGCCAGCCCCTGTTTAATAATTTTGGGCCATGGTAGATTGAACTGAAACCTGGAAAGCAGATTTCCAGATAAGGGGGTCTACTCGTGTGTTTTACATGAATGCATTTTTCTTAACACTTTCATCCTTTTTAAAAGAAGTGATTATCACAGGAATTAAATTTTATTATAGCACCTTAACAGCTAAAGGGACCAAAACTTTTGCATTCCTGCATCTACTAAAATGTTCCAAGCATCCAACAATTTTTTTTTTTTTTAAATTCCTATAAACCAGGGATGCTAAGTCTTAAGTATTGTGGCTAGAACAGGGAACGTGACAGTTCTGCCTAGGTGTAGCTAATAAGGAAGGTTAAGTAGGACAGTTAGTTTGTTAACATGAGGGGCTGGGGAGATAGCTCAGTAGAATAAACACTTGCCTGGCAAGCACAAGGTCCTGAGTTCAATCCCCGGTACCACCAAAAAAGAAAAAGAAAAAATCATAAAAAAAGTTTGTTAACATGTACTGGATTGAGAACCTGCTCTGGTACAGTAGTCGCTTTCCTAGAGGAGAGCTTACTGAGAGGATGATGCCTAAGCAGAAACCTGAGGAAAGTTAGGGTCAGCCATGAATATATCTAAGCAGAGAGATTACACCTGGGTGCCCAGGAAATCAGAGCATACCTTGTATGTTCAAGAAATATCAGGGAAGCCATTGGGTGGCTAAAATAGTGCAGTAAGGGGGAGAGTGGTTCTGTTGAGAAGCAGTTGAGGGATGGAAGGGTAAAAGCACACACACCAGTATCATGAGCTTGTTTTCCCCAAAATTTGTACGTTGAAGTTCTAGCCCCTGTTTGGCATCCCTGAATTGTAACCTTTCTACTAAACAGGTAAATGTAAATAATCTTTCCCAAAATAAATTGCCAAATTTAAGGCGGGTATCTTGGGACCCCTTGAATTATAGCCTGGTGATCAGATGTCAGAAGGAAGTCCTGGATTTGTGATTGGGATCTGACATGGAGGATGGATCTGACTGTAACTCCTACTAGATTGCGTCAGAATTCAGTTCACTTATAGGACAGCCTGTTGAGAACTGGAAAATTTGTTTGGAATGGAAAACACCATACATTGGATGCCAGGGTGTTGCGAGACTACAATCTGTTTCCTTTTTTTCCATTAAAAGAGCCATAAGGAACTAATACAACTAGTTCTGAGATTCTTACAGTACTCTGAGCAAAGTACTTTGTTGATTTGGACCAGGATAGTAGCAGTAGAGGTGGCAAAAAAATGCTTGGAATTCATTTTGAAAGTACAAGCGATAGATTCTATGAGGAGGAGCTTAAAAAAAGCTAAGTCAAGGATTTCAGAAAAGTGAGCACCTGAAGTGGTGAAGGCGCCTCTGTGAATGTGGAGGAGGGAGCTTTCAGGGCTTGGGGTGGGGCGAGCTGAGTCCAAGGGGAAGACACCGAGTTTGCAGCTGCGCACAAGTATGGAGCTCAGGAGAGGCCCAGTGTGGAGCTGATATTCTGGAGTGGTGAGCGCCAGAGTGATCCTTGACCGGGTCACAAAGGGAGTTGAAAGAGGGATGACCCCAGTGACTGCATCGCTGTATTCCAGGGTTGAGGGGGCGAGGAGATGAGGAAGAGCAGATGAGACAGCAAGTGGTGCTATACAAGGAAACCTTGGGGAGCACAGCGTCCAGCAGTTGTGGTGGGCTGCCCCTTTCTTGGTCCTGGGCAGGAAAGAGATTCTGGGGGGAGGAGTGGGAACAGTCTTTTCGGTTGCTTTTATTGGTTTTTCTGTGTTTCTGGCTTCTTCAGATCCATGCCCGGAACACAGAGGCAAAAAGACAGCCCAAAGGTACACACGCTGAGGCGAGCTGTCATTTTTCCGATCCTAGGGTTTCCATGTGGGCTGTCATCTTTCTTCACTTTTCAAAGTTTTGCATGTGATCTTCAGGGTTCTTCTGTGTTCTCTGGAGTGCAGCTACATAGGAATATGGTGACTACCAGTGCATCTTGATTTATGTCTGGATGACTGTAAGTTAGCCCAGCATTCCTTTTATACCGTCACTGCGGATGACAACACAGTGAGACAAGCAACATTTTAGTATTATGAAAATAGTTTCATAATGTAAGAAAGTAAGAGATCAGCATATCTATAGAGGTTCTTTTTTGTGGCTTTTGAAATATCTAAATCCAGGGCCAGCGAGATAGCTCAGCAGATTAAAGCACCTGCAAGCAGGCCTAGGGGCTGGGGGCTTGATCCCCAGGCCTGCCATGCTGGCCCTGCCCCTGGGGCTCACTGAGAAGGCAGTTGAGGCTGGTCATGGTGGCACGCGCCTATAATCCCAGTTTGTGCGAAGCTGTAAGCAGGTGGATCATTACGAGTCTGATCTAGTAGTGAGACCCTGACCACCCTGTGGACCTTCCCTAAAAAAAAAAAAAAAAAAAAAAAAAAAACCCCCAAAAAAACAGTTTAAAGGGGTTGTTTTAAAAAAGGGGTAAAAAAAAAATTTTTTTTTTTTTTTTTTTTTGTATTTGGTACAGGGTCTCACTATGCAGCTCAGACTCTTAGTGATCTCCTATTTTCAACCTCCCCAGTGCTAGAATTACAAGCGTGCACCACTATGCCTGGTCTTGGTGGCTGGCTCAACATGCCCGGGGGAGGGCCAGCATGGCATCTGGTGCCAGGGATCAAACCCTGATCCTTGCGCTTGTCTAAGCAGGCCCTTAGTCCACTGAGCTGTCTCGCTGGCCTTAACACTATCATTTTTCATAAATGGGAAAGAATGCTTCTAGAATAGGTGACTGATTCCACCAAGTAGAATTTCAAAACTGAGTACCTTTAGGAAAGAGAGAATCAGTATTCTAGAAACTACCATGAGGAGTAAGGCCCTATTGATTTTTCAGCTCCAAGAGATCAGTATTTGTTACTAGGCTAAACATTAAGGGTAGTAAAGTATTCAGGATTTTGCTGTAGTAACTTTTTAGAGTAAACTAAAAGAATGCTCAGTTAGGGAACATAAAAATTGGTAAACTTCATTACTAAGGGAGTTGGCTAAGAATTTTTTCCAGTTAGTAATTCACTTACACATAGTCTGTTAGTCCTGTAACGCAATTGTGTCTCAAATTTACTGATGGAGATTATGGGGCCACAGAGGAAAGTGATCAATGATGTAGAACATGCCTAAGGAGAGTCACATGGAGAAAAAACATTCTCTCAGGCTTTCACAGAGAGCAAATTGCTCAAGCAATGGCCATGACTCATCCACATGGCTGACACTGACAAAGGATCTACAAACTGCGGTACAGGGTTTCAGGATAAATCCTGAGGGGATTTGACTGACCTTGTCAGATACAAAAGTTATATTTCTTGTTATATAGGTCTTGCTTTATCTTGGTCTTAATCATCCAGCAGAAAAGTATAAAAATGAGGTATAAAAAGTAAAGCCATATCAATATACTGAGCTATAAAAGGCTGAAGTCAACAACTTCTGACGTTGCCAGTCCTATGGATAACTCACTACTATTATGGACTACTGAACTGTATTGGATTATTTTGCTGAACTCACGCACCTACAATATTTAAATGGCAACGGAATACTCATCTCTGACAAAACAAAACAAAAAAAAAAAGGAAATACAAATGAATGACCATTTTGTATCTGTATATGCAAAATACTTAGATATACAGTTACTTTCTCTTAATTCAATGAGAAGAAAGATTTGTACTAATAGTGTTTGGACATGATATCATGTCTACATCTTGTACTATGAATAACCACTATGAAGACAACAATAAGCAATGTATTAATTATTGTAACTTTCCTATTGTTTGGTTTTGAAACTATCTCATTGCTGTTTGTTTCTCAATAAAATTAAAAACAAAAAAACCCACTACTGAGAAAAAAGTATTAGAATTCTTTAGTATAAATCAGTCAGAAAATGTATTTTGATCTGAGAATTTTTAGTTTTATGCATGTCAGTAACTTAATAGTAAGTTTTAAAGAAGGATCATTAATTAAAATATAAAATCACTTATTTACAGTAATTATCAAATCAGAGAAATGAACTATTTACTGTTTTAGTTATTTTTTTTATTTAAATGGGCATGCAAAATAGTCCAATTTATTTGAATTAACCTGTATTTTGGATTAGAGAGTTATTTGAAAGTTGATGGAAAAATTTCATAATCAGAATGTATAATGGGGAAATTCTTTTTTCTTTTTTTTTCTGTATTTATGACAGGCTCTACAGGGTCTCACTATGTAGATCAGACTAGTAGTGATCCTCCTGTTTTCAGCCTCCCAAGTACTGGGATTACAGGCACGGGAAAATTAATTATAACTGTAATAATAATTTTAGCTTTTTTGTAAGTTAATTAGGAATAAAATATTTTAAATACAATTATTATATGTTTTAAACCATCTACTAATAACAATAGATACAAACACTTAAATTATTTGGAGAGAGTGATGTAGTTCTTGCTTTTCTTTTCTTTTTTTTTTTTTTAATGCAGAACTGGAGATTGAACTCAGGCCCTTGCGCTTGCCAGGCAAGCACTTATTCTACTGAGCTATCTCCCTGGCCCCCCTATTTCCTGCATTTTAATTATAGCCCTAATTTAAATAATTATAATGTATACTAAGATTTATTAATGAAATACCAATGTTTAGGGCATAAAAGGGGCTTTTTTGAGAAAGGATAAGTTTAGTTCTGTACAGAAAATGTACAAGATAGGCTTAGAACATTTTGTCGTACTAAAGCTCAGGAACTATCGGTGACTACTATGGTTTTTTTAAAAAAGACACAGAAGCCAGTTTGAAGAGGATCTAGTTGGCCAAAGACAAGACAACTTGAGCATCAAAAATGAATTAATTGAAACATATTAAATATCTTAAAATCCAGAAATGGCACCAAACAAAAGCGTCAGAACCATAGCTCATGAGTTATGTTGGCGATTTCCCTTACTGAGACCCTGCAGTACACTGCGCAGTAGCCCCCTGAAGGTACAGCTCTTACCCTGTGACCCTGCAGATGCTACCCTATGTGTAAAAAAGGTCTTGGTACATGAAATTAGATAAGGTACTTTGACGTGGGGAGATCCAGCTAGGTCATCTGGGCGGGCCTGGAGCTCCATTGCAGGTGGCCGGGTGTTAGCGGCGCAGTGGGAGACTTTACTGTACCACACAAATGCAGGAGAAAGGCGGGGGACAGAAGCGTTGGGACGCAGTCCATGAGCAAGTTGATGGGAATGGAAAGGCAGAAGGCAGGGAACACCTTGGCTTTCAGAAGCTGGAAGTGGCAGAGAATGGATTCACTCCTAGAGCCACTGTAGGGAGCCTAGCTCTACAAAGCATCTTGAGGTTAGCAGACTTTCGGCTTCTAGAACTGTGGGAAAAGTGCAGTTCGTTGTTAAGCCACCGCGTTTGTGCTGGTGTTATGGCAGCCCCAGGAAACTAATAAAGGACAAACTAAAAATTGGCAAATTAGAGCAGAGAAGCAAACATTTATCCCTCCTGGCCTTGGTGAACTCAGGCAAATCATGAACGAGGGAACATGCTTTATGGAAGACAGGCTCCCACTAAATGCAGAAGCGATGGCAGATGTTGGCACTTTTTCAGTCGCTAATGAAATAGAGGATATAAGCAGTGATCTTGAATTAGCAGAAGTCGTTAGATAAAAGGCTGCTGGGGAGCTTTATAATGGGTGAAGCAGTTTTCATCTCAACCAAAAAGGAGAAACTACCAGGTATTGTATGCTTGCTGACAGAAATTAGCAAGGAATGTATATTCCTGCGCGAAATACTTTTACCCAAAACTTGAGCCTGAATCTGATCGTATGTCAGGATCTGGTGACCACTTTACAGGAAAAGTAAGAGGCATAGAATGTGTTAAATGCCATTCCAGAGATACAAATCAACTTATACAGAATATGAAACATTCTGTACAACTGATTATCTGGTTTCTTAAATAAATAAATGAGTAATAAAATGAAAGATGGAGAGAACTGGTATAATTTTTTTTAAAACTTGGAAGATAATTCACATGTAACAAAGTGCAATTGTAGACCTTGAATCTTGAATTAAATAGATCATTAATAAGGGGCAAATGGGGAAATGTAGGTAATGGTTATCAGATGCTATCCAGGAATATTGTTTTCTTTTTTCTTTTATAAGGTGTTTTTTTTTTTTTTTTTTTTTTTAACATATTTGGTACAGGGTCTCACTACACAGATTAGACTCATAGTGATTCTTGTGTTTTCAGCCTCCCAAACGCTGGGATTACAGGTCCGTGCTGCCTTACCCAGTCTCAATTGCCCTCTCAGCATGTTGTAGGGGTGGGGCCTGCACAGCATGCTGGGGATTGAACCCCAACTGCTGTGCACTGCCTAAGCAGACACTTTAGGCCGCTGAGCTGTCCGGCTGCTCCCTTGTTGAGTTTTTTATGTATGATGATATTGTGGTTATGTTTAAAATAAGGAACCCTCATTTCGTAAAGCTGCATACTGACATATTTGTGAATGAAATAATATCTCGGATTTGTTTTAGTAACCCAACAAAGTGGCAGAGGGAAAAATAATGGATGGAATGCGGTGCAGTGGTGGTGAACCTATGGCACACGTACCATAGTGGGCTGTTTGTTTTCACTGAAAGCTCTAAAAGGTCGCCATCATTGCTGTTCCATAGAAGGAACAGTTGGCCTTATATTGAAGTCAAGAGAATGTTTTATACCTCATGAGCTCATTAGCAAGTTTCATTGTTTACCACATAGTGGAACTTTATCATCTGTAGCTAATCTACCATTGCCTGCATCGTACAGTGTCGTCCTTAAATGTCTCACTGCATAGCTCTAAGACACAAGGACCTATTTAGCGTCATCTTTATCCCAGTAATGTTATCATAACACTAACCAAAATTGTAATCTTTCTTAACACAGCAGATTGCCCAGTGAGTTAAACAGAGGGTGTCATGAAGTTACAAAGGTCAATCAAGAAAAGTTTTATGTGATAAAATTTAGAATTTTTTTATCTCAGGTTATGAAGACCTGTAATTTGTAAAACATGATAGGTATATTATTTATTATATCCCTAAGGAAATGCAATGCCCTTATAGCACCTCAGCCATATTTTTTGGTAGTATCCCTATGTGTAAACCTTCTTAATGTAGTGATGACTAGTTTTCTAATTAGTCATTTGGATTAAGTTATGGTATAATTTTTTAAACTTAATGGGGCCTGGGAGATGGCTCAGTAGAATAAGCGCTTGCCTGGCAAGCACAAGGCCCTGAGTTCAATCTCCGGTTCTGCAAAAAAAAAAAAAAAAAAAAAGTTATTTGCAATGTCTTTCTACAAATATAAATAGCATCTTAAGTTAGTTACAATTTTTCTTTGTGATATGGAAAGATCAAGTGTTGAATTATATAAATTTTTTGATTTTCTGTCTTTTTTTAAACTAAGGTTCTAGATAAAGCAGAATATCTACGAGATATGGAAGCAAATCTTTTACCTGGGTTTCTTAGGTTACAAGAATTGGTAAGTAATACATCGGAATGGCTTTCCCTCACAGTAGATCAGAACACCCATTTCCAGTCAGTAAATTGTGTCTCCACATTTCTTCTTTTTGCCATCTGATAGGTGTGAATTGTATCTTACTATACATTTGCATTTTGTTTCTCAGTTACTCTAGAGTAAATGGCAAGAAGCTTGGGTTTCATCTATACACGTCTTTTGTTGCTGTTTTGTTTTTAGAAGGGTGTCACTTTATAGTTCAGGCGAGGCTTGAACTCACTGTATAGCCCAGGCTGGCCTCAAATTTGCAGTGATCTCTTGCCTCGGCTTTTCAAATGCTAGGATTACAGGCAGGCACCACTATGCCTGGATTATACAAGGACTTTTATATTTCCATTATAATAATCTGAAAGAAGAACAGTGTGGTTATTGTGGGTATTCTCAATTTCTGTCATATGGCCATTCAGTGTTAGAATTTAGCTTTGTTGTGTTGACCCACAAAAGTATAAATACTATTGTGATGTCATGGTCCAGGTCCAGAGGAAGCAGAGGGTTGAATTTCATATGTATGTGTGTCAGGGGTAAAAGATAATAAAATGGAAAAAACAAGGTCTGGAGTACTTTGAATAAAAAAACTTGATGAGTGAATCCAGTCGTTACCAGTATCAGTATAGGAACACTTAACTCAATAAAGAGTTTACATTTTTTAACAAACTGGCTAATGATTAGGCCCATATCAAGAAAGAAGTAAAGAGCTAGTTTGACTGAAAAAAAAAAAATACCATTCATTATTTTCAGTTAATATTAATTTAAATGTTGATTTTGCATCTCATATATGTGTATCTTGGTTTTTCGGTGCTTTGTATATATAGTTTATACCTACCCAGTTTTAGGTCTGTATGTATTAAATTAGCAATGTGATAAAAGTTAAATACTTGGAGAGAAATGTTAGAACATCTCTCTTTAAAGTTTAATACATGTATTAATCGAATTTGGAAAGCTCTTGAGAGACGATGTAGACCATCGGTGCTGTTGAAGCTGTCGTGTCCCTCTGGGGTTTGTATTTAAGAAGCAAGAGAGAGGTGTAGATGGAAGGAAAGTGCATGGAACTGCTGTAGCTCTGTCCTGGGCCTTCGCGCCACACATCCTTTCTCAGGCTCCTGACTCAAGGCACTTTATTCCCAACACTGGAGCGCTGTCTGCTTTGGGCACTCGTTTCCTCCTTCCCTGCCTTTCAGTGGCTTTGCCTGTGTTTGTGGGTTTTTCTCTGTCTACACCTACTGTCTCCCAGTGCTCTGCTGGGACTCCCCATGTGTATAGGGTATTTTTGTGTCCTCTTGTCCTGCTGTGGACCCCTCATCTGCTCTGCACGTGCACAGGGATGCAGGTCATGCGGCTCTTCTCAGGAGTTAAGCCTTTCACTGGTTTTTAATTGTAGAAACTATTTGATGAAAACTGGGAAGATTTGCAATAATCTCAGCTCTACCACAAAAGGGAATTACCATTTTCATATTCCTAAAAAAAAGTTTGATTTTTAAAACTGTATTCTTTGAAGGAGAAATCTAATGAAGATATTTCCCATTTTTATATTTTTTTAAAATTTTTTTTAAAATTTTTATTTGTGTGTGTGTGTGTGTGTGTGTGTGTGTGGCCAGCTCAGCCCACCAGGGGGCGGGGCTGGCTGGCATGTGGTGCTGGGGGATTGAACCGCGGCCCCTGTGCTTTGCTAAGCTTGTTCTAAGTAGGTGCTTTAGACCACTGAGCCATCTCACCAGCCCCCCCATTTTTATATTTACCTGAGAAAAATGAAATTTAAATTATCAGCTGGTTTTATAAAATGCTTTTACATGTGCTTTGTAAATAAAACAATAATTACAGTGTATTTAATTTACCCTGCAGAAATTCAGAGAATCTTAAAAATCAAAGCATAAAAAGTATATATAGGTTTCAGGATCAATAAATAGTAAATTAGCATAAAAGTATAGTGCAATTTATGTACGATATTGGGACCTACAAATACTTGAAGAAAGAAAATACCTCTATTTACTGTATCATCCAAGAAGATATCAAAAAGAATATGAGAAAAATTGAAATGTGTGTGGAGGATTAGAGTTAGATAAATTAGATAAATAACTAGAATTAGATAAATTTTAGCTAGCATGCACAGGGGTTTGTGGTCACCCTTTAGGAGTGTTACCGACAGGTCAGACTTGTTCTTTTTATATTCTTTTCTGTATTCTAATTGTAATTTCTAAATATTCTTCAAAAAGATACTTGTTTTACTTAGGATTTTTTTTAGATACTAATACTCATAGTTAGTTGTTATATTTATAATGTGTATTCAGTATCAGTTTTGTTCAATAATAAAATACTCCTTAATAAAACATTGAATTTTCCCAGTAATACAAGGTTTTATAGTATGGTCTAACTGCCTTTTATTCAACTCTGCATTTCTATTTTTTTTCTGAGTTGCTATAGCTGTTTTGATGATGACAAACAATATAGGTTTTTGCCATTTTTGTTATAGATTGAAAGCTTATGTTTTTTAAAAAATCACATAGAAAGATTTTCATCATAACTTTTAAAACAAAGTGTTTGTTAATTTCTATAACACTATTCTTGTGTGACTGTTTTAGTGTTCATGGGTAGCTGAAATGTTGATTAACATACAAATTTTATGGAAATTCTAAGTAATTATGTATGAAAATTTACAAATGGTTCATTTCCTTGATTAGGTTTTCTAAATATGGTTTATTAATATGCAAATAATTTGTTACATGTTAGAGCTTTGCTGAATTTATTTGAAGAAAAATCCAAATGGAGTTAGTTATGATTAAGTTTTTAAAATGCAAATTTACTTTTATTAATTTTTCTTTTGCAGACTGACAGAAACGTGACTGTTCTTTTCCTCAGTGAAATTATTTGGGAAAAGTTTCGTCCAAATACTGGATGCTTCGAGCCATTTGTCTTGTATTTCCCTGATTACAGCATAGGTAAATTTTAAAGTACTGCCTTTTCTGTTCAGAACAATATTTTTTGTTTGAAAGATTAACCTCATATGTTTAAATTGGAATACATTGATACATTAAACTGCTAGGGTTTGTTGACAGTCCTAAAATTCTTATATTTTTACTTGCAGAAGTCTTACTTTGAAGCTGGTGGGGACATTCTTATATAGTTATGAAATATTTGAATGAAAAAAGTATGCTAATAGTCTGTTTCCTTCCTTATCAGTCCTTTAATATGTCTGTATATATTGTGATTAAACCATCTAACAAAAAAGAGTCAGACTAGATTGATACTGAAATTGTGTTGAAATCTTTACTTACCATAGAATTCGTGTGTATATGTTGTGCTGTACTTGGAAAAATACTTGGAGATGCTGTGTGGAAGGAATGTGTCTTTGAGTTTTGTAAATCTTATTTTTCATTGCCCTAACTCTTGTGCCAACTACTAACCTTTATGCTTCCTTTTTCTTTTCTTTTTTTTTTTTTTTTTGATATTACATTTAACCTCAAATTTTATAGATACTGTTGATTTTTGTCTTTTGGAAACAATATAGTGGCTTATGTTGTTGTCTACCTTCACAAATTAATATTGGGCTATCATTAAACAAGGTGATACTTTTGAGTCAAAAATTCTAAGTATAGGGTGCTTAGCAGGCTTTGAGAAAACAGCTTGCAGTGGTCACGGGGGCCTTTTTGGCCTTGTTAACACCAGTGTTCTAATCAGCTTTAAACATTCATTGTTGAGATCAACACATTTTTTCTGTCTTCACAAGCACAGCAGTCAGATAACACCTACTGCTTTAGCTAGCTAACTTTTTTCTTTCTTTCTTTTTTTTTTTTTAAGAAACTCAAAATAGAAGGATTCCTTAGTTTCAATAGCTTCTCATCCATGAAAGTCACAAAATAAAGAAAATATCAGAATAAAACAAAGGACTTTAAGAAGTTCCTTTAGATCTATGTCATCATTTTTGCATTTAATTTTTTTGTTTTGTTTTTAAGCATGGAAAAATACTTGGAATTATAAGAATTCTTTTTACATATTTGCTCTCTACATTATAGTGAAGTTGAAGTATATGATTGTGTGATTTGATTGAAAAAATTTAAAAGGCACCAAGCAGCATAGATGGAGAATGAGGACAAAAACATAGTGAAGATGATGAGTTTTTGATAAGTATGTAATGATAAAGCCAGGTTAAATCTGATTATCAAATTTTATGTGTTAAGAGTTTTACAAGGTATAACCACTATGATCAGATAGCCATTAAAGAAGGAAACGTGAAGCGAATAAGCATGAAACCAGCATAAAGATGACCTTGGCTGATATCATCCAGTCATGGTAAATTGAATGCATCTGTTGCATTTCAGGATATGGTGTCTGATACCTAGGACACATCTCCAGGAGTTTTGGCAAAGGGCCCAGTGTAGAACTCTAGTTGTCTGGCCTTTACCACATGCAGATGACTTGGTTTTGGTTATGTGTGTTTGCTTTTTCTTTTAGATAGATTGTCAGGTGAACTTGATTAAGTTTTTGGTGTAGATACGGTGTCATAATAGGTTTAGAGTGAAAATATCAGTGGCTTATAGTTCTCCATCCTTTGTGCTAACACTTTCCTACATTTTCTACCTTTACTATAAAATTCATAATACAGTATTACTTGGACTTTAATAAAAAAGCAAGAAAGAATCTTTCATTATTAATTATACTTAGGATTTTTAATAAACTTCATGTATATTTTCATGCAACTTAGGAAAAATTTTAGCCATTATTTCACCAAGTATTTTATTTGCTACCCCTTTTTCACTTCCTGTAGCTTTTATTTTTTTCCTGGGACTGTAGTATTTATATTAAACCATGGCTTTTTTTTCTTCTTCTTCTTTTCATTTATGTAGTTGGTACAGTCTCACTATGCAGTTGAGACTCATAGTGATCCTCCTGTTTTCAGCATCGCCAGCGCTGGGATTACAGTGTGCACCACCATGCCAGGACTTGGTTGTTGGCTCAGTGTGCCCCAGGGATGGGGCCAGTATGGCATGCGGTAATGGGGATCGAAATCTTGTTCCTGTGCTTGCCTAAGCAGGTGCTTAGGCCAGTAAGCTATCTCACTGGCCCTTAACCATGCCTTTTTTGACTGCTTTGAAAGTGAAATTTTAAGACACCAGGAGATAAATTAGAAAGTTTCTATTCCCCTTCATTTACTACAAGATGTTTTGTTAGATTTTTTTTTTTCCATGACTGAATGGTCCTAGGCTCTGAGATCTAGCATGACTTACCTACTGTATACCTGTACTCTGAAGCACTGTCTGTAATCTGCACTAGAGGGGCTGGGCTGCTCATGGGGTAATGCAGTCAAGAGTTTTGATTCTTACATGGTGTTTGTCAGGGCTAAAATGGCCCAGTGGCAGCACCTACTCAGCTTTCGTATGCGATGTTGAGGGTGACCTGAATGGGTTGTCTGCATAGAGAGGCTCATGAAGTGACCGTCTTAAGCCAAAGTGCCCAGGAGCGTGGTCTGCGCTGGAGACTGCAGCCTGCATTTTCCAGATTTCATCCCCCATGCATTTATAGACCGTCCGTTGTACATTTATATCTCCATCTGTCTGCCTATCCATTTCCTTTTCTCTCTTTTCCTTCCATTTATCTAGTTATTTAGTATCTTTCATATATATCTTTCTGTGTTTTAAGGTACCTTTTATTTTTATTTAGTTATTTATTTATTTTTGCGGAACAGGGATTTAACTCAGGCCCTTGCACTTGCCAGGCAAGCACTTATTCTACTGAGCTATCTCCCCAACCCCTAAGGTATCTTTTAGACATTTTCAGTCTATCAAATATTTTCTTATGCTTAATTTAAGAAAAATTAAGAGACATATTTAAAGTTTGCTATCAGAATGCAGAAGTACATAGGCTTTTGATATAAAGATGCAGTTCCCAGAGCCAGTGAGGTACTCAGCAGACTAAACACCTGCTTAGGTAAGCTCAGGAACCAGGGTTTGAGCCCCAGCATCACATGCCCTGTCAGCCCCACCCTTGGGCACGCTGAGCCTGCCAGAGTCTGGGCCTGGTGGTGTACGCATGTAATCCCAGTGCTAGGGAGGCCAAAAACAGGAGGATCGCTGTGAGTCCAAGCTGCTTAGAGAGACCCTGTATCAAATACATTTAAAAAAAAAAAAAGTACACTTCCCATTTGAAGATGTGGCTCAGCGGTACAGTGCTTGCCTAGCAAGATGAGGTCCTGAATTGAGTTCCCAATATTGTAAAACATAAATAAATCTAATAATAATAAATTATTATCTGCTTGATATTCCCCAGAAAAATATTCTAAGCATAAAACTGGGCTTTGAAATAGCTGCTGCTGCTTTTTTTTTTTGGCCAGTGGGAGGTAGTTGTAAGCTCTGTGTATAGGTTTTCATTGACAATCAATGTGTATTATTTGATTTTTCCAATTATATCTAAGTGATTTTCAGGAATCAGAGATTAACATCAAGAACTAACCATGGTTAGGATGCTTAATTAATGGGAAACCTCAATGAAAGGAAATAGAATCAGAACAACCTTGAAGAATTTTTACCTAAAAGTACTGCAAACAACCTGTGCCATCTAGATCTAGTTTTAAAATATAAGTTATATTTGAGGATTCTTAACTAAGAAGCCTAAGTAAACCTAGCACCAGAAATTCAGAAGGTATTGGGATAGGAGCAAACGACTGACTGATTCATGTACTATGCCTGGGAGATTGTGAGTAATAGATAGTTGTTTTTCTTTACTTGTAGCTATGCTTCTATAATAGACTTTCAGTGTGATAGAATATGATGTTAGGACTCTAAACGTATAGCATCCTCTTAGCATCCTCTAAAGAGCTTCAAAGAGAATCGAAAAGAAATAACGAGACCCTAAGTTGTAGCTAAAAACATGTTTTAGGAAAAGAGGGACTGACAAAGTGAGCATTGGCATCAGGGCTGGTTATTTTAAAACTTTACACAATTATTTTTTATGAAAAGTGAATATCACTAGAATTTTTAGTTTGGTGGTGTTTTTTGTACTCTACACTCCTTTTTTCTAGTTGATAACAGAAATATTGGAATTTATTATTTTACCCTTGATACTGATTGTGATTTTTCCAGTAATACTTGAAACTTTCTTTAGATACTATTTTATATGTGACTTAAGCAACATTTAGTAATTCTTTTTAGAAGCTGAGTACATGCTTTTTGATGTTGGCTTCAAAATTTGTATTACATTTTCTGAATCCATGTGTGCTAAAAACACTGTGATGCCAAATGGGTTGAGTTTCCCTCCTCTGAAATAAACAGCTCTCTAATTGGGCAGACGCCAAGTGGCCAGTTCCTTCACTTCTAAAGCCGACTGTAAGAACTCAGTGCAGACTCCACAGGTCTGTTTCCTGAGCTTGTTTCCACTTCAGGTGCTAGTTACGAGCCCAAATTTCCACTTGCAGATCTGAAAACTGGCTGTAAATTAACTGTTCCTCTGACCTCTTTCAGAACAGAATTTTCCACCATGGCTCACAGAACTCAGCATTTCATGTACTGTTAGCATTTTCTTTAAATCATGTTGTTCAGGACACAGGGATCAGCCAGATAGAGGGTCCCGGCTTGGGAGCTTCTGTCTTGTGCAGGGCAGCATGCTGTGGGTGCCCTCACCAGCTGGAGCTGGCTGCTCCCCGTCATTGCCGGCTGTGCTGCAGCGCCGTCACAAGGCCTGAGGGATCCAGTCAGTGCCTTTGGGGAGGGCCTGGTCTTTGGCACATTCCTCCTTCCTGGAGGTCACCGAGTAGAGCCTCATCAGTTCTCATCCTTAAGCTGTTTGGGGGCCCACTGAGGATCACTTAGTATTATAAATGCAAGTGTGTTTGAAAGAGACTGGATTATAAAAGATGCTTCTCCCACGGGCTTACCTGAGATTTTAGGTTATGCCAGGAACTGGGAATGAAGACAAATACTTACTTCTGTCACAAAATCACTCTTTTCTATTCTAATCTGTGTAACAGTTTTATCATGCTTTATTGCTGGGCTTGGGTATTTGTTTTTTAATCCTTTGTTAGAAAATCCTTGAAGATGAAGTTAGGGCGCTGTGTTAATGCCTACAAGCTGATTGGTGTCCTGTGTCCAGGGAACCTTCAGAAGATCCTGTGCCACGATCACCCTCCAGAGTATTCCGCTGATTTCTACGCTGCCTACATTAATATCCTTCTTGGCGTTTTCTACACTGTTTGTCGGGATTTGAAAGAGCTCAGACATCTAGTGAGTGAACATTTTGCGGTAATAGACAAATGCATGTATATATATTTTAATAGTTTTCCATGCAGAAATCACTGAGATAGGTTAGAAGATGAAACTGTATTTAAAAAATCTGGGTGTGGCCTTTCAAAGGTGAAATACCATAAAAAGGACGATATGTGTGGGTGAGGTATACTTTGACTTGGTGAGGAAATTTACATTGTTCAACTTCAGTCACTCTTCTCTAGGGTTGTGGCTTTTTGTTTTCTCTTTAGCTGCAGAAAATGTAGCGCTCCATTACAATCAAATAAAGACTTAACAGAAAGTGGTTAGTTAAGCAGTTTTGTCTCTTTCTGTTAACTTACGTAATAACGCTTGAGGTTTTATGTATGTCTTGACTACCCTAGAATCTAGATGAATTTGTGTATAGTGAAATACTTTAGTTACAGATATTTCATAAACCACTTAAGTTAGATCTTTATATAAAATGTTTTCCAAAAAAATTTTTAAATACCTGTTAGTACCTCACAGTTTGAAAAATGATTATGTATAACTTTCGTTTGACTGGTTTTTACTTTAATGGTGGAGACATGAAAGGAAGGGGCGAGAATTCAGTTTATACTCAAGGTCTTATTTCTATGTAACAAAAAATAGTAATGCAGTCATTCTAGGGCTAATAAGCCAGCTACTTTCAAGGGCGAGTGTTCTCTCTCTCCTCACTGTTTTTGGTCTATTTATTGCTATTCATAAATTATTTAACATGTGTTTCAAAGTTTTAACCAAGAAGAACAATAACATATTTTAATTCAACCAAAAAGTTACTTATCTCAGATTGTTACCATTATTATATCTGGTGTTCTTAGCCAGTGCGTAGATTGGAAAGCAGAAAACTAGGTGAGACAGTTGGCCACAGTGAATTTTTTGTCCTTCTTCACTTAATATTATCCCCTTAATTTGAGGTTATATAGCTACACGTTTACCTATATCTTTTCTCCTAGGTCCCAGGATTGAGTTATTTCATTATAAAATACTTGGACCAAGTTAATATTAATCAATGGTTCACAAACCAAGTAGCTTACTTTCAGTAGAATTCTAGGGTTGATGGATGGAAGACCATGAGGCACTTAAGATTAGTTATAGTTCTTCTTAGACTTTAGAGTGCATATTTTACTAGACAGGCTGCTAGATATAGAGCCCTGGGACTTATCCTCAGAAACTCTGGTTTACCGTACCCAAAACAGTGCCAAATCTTTCGATGGTGGTCTCTGGTAGTGCTGCCCGTGCTAATACTATGAGTCATGCTGACCTTGATGATGTCTATGGCAATGTGTAGGCCTTAGAAAATAACAGGTGATTCTCTGGACTTCGTGGTCCTACAAGGCGTCATTATGATCGAAAGTACAAATTACACTTTGTTACTTTATTTATAACCTAATATATTAGGATTTAATCAGTTAAAAGACTTTTCATGTTGCACAAAAATCATTTTTGCTATTTTATGTAGTAATCTATGATTATATTCTACTTGAACAAAAATAAACTTAAATAAAATTGCTTAAATTTTAATAAACATTTAACTTGTAAAATGAATCCTGAATTGTGAGAGAGATATGCTTTTTGTTTTCTTATTTACAGGCAGTACTTAATTTTCCTAAATATTGTGAACCTGTTGTTAAAGGAGAAGGTAACTATGAAACATTACTTACTAATATTTCTTTTTACAAAAATAAAAAGTAGAAAGATCTTTCTCAAATAGGAAAGAGATTAAGAAAGGGAGGCGCGCGGGGTGGAGGGTGGGAAAGGAGGGTGAAAGAAGAAATTAAGATGTGCTATGTATGTTTGCTAAGTTCAGAAGAATATAGATATGTCCTAGTAAAATAAATACAGTCTAAATTACTGAAATTTTCTCCTATGTGATAGCAAGTGAACGTGATACTCGCAAACTGTGGAAAAATATTGAGCCTCACTTGAAGAAAGCCATGCAGACCGTCTACCTCAGAGAGGTATCAAGGTAATTACAGTTTGTGTTCTACAGGTTGAACCCTTATTCAAAATGCTTGGGAACAGAAGTATTTCAGATTTGGAATGTTTTTCACATTTTGAAATATTTACATCAAATGTATCGGTAGGCTGGGGAGATGGCTCAGCAGAACAAGCGCTTGCCTGGCAAGTACGAGGGCCTGAGTTCAATCCCTTGTTCTGCAAAAAAAAAAAAAAAAATTCAAATGTGCCGGTAGGCATTCATAGTCCAAAACTCTGAAATACTCCAAAACCTGAAACTGTGTATCATAGGAAACTTTAAAAGTTTAGGGTTTTGGAATGTTTCAGAACGTGACACACAGGACCTGTCGGTTCTTCGGCAGCACAGAAGTGGCGTTCTGATGCTGGCCTCCTGCTCCTGGGGAGGCGTGTGGGCTGCGCATCTCTTTCCCTCTTGCCAGATCTCGTTCACTCATGTGTAGTGAAATTTACTGAGTTAAAATAGCATTGCATATTTCATATTGCCTAATTGTTGTTGAATAAATGGGAGAAGCAGAATAAATAAAAAGTAAAAGCCATAGCAAGCTAGATCCCGACTTTTTGGAAGCTGTTGTTCAGAATGTATATTGGTTTCATAGTTTTTATAAACAGTTTTCCTGTTTTCTTTAAGTTCTCAGTGGGAAAAGCTACAGAAAGATGACACAGATCCAGGACAACTAAAAGGTACCAAAATACTGAGTTATCGGAGACATTAACTGTTGATATGAAGGTGTATACGAAGGCCAGTGAGTAAGTAGTGTTATAAAAGAGACTTTACCTTATAAGCTGTAATGATAATTTGCTAATGATAATCCTTTAACTGAACAGCAGTTTCGTGTTTGCTTTCTTGAGTTTGTTTTGTGGGCAACATCGCACTAGGTAGCTGAGGTTAGTCTCGAATTTGGGGTTTTCTTGCTTTCCTAATTTTCTGTTTTCCATACATTGCATTGTATCATGTGAAAGTTTTCTTTCTCTCAATGCATTTATTGTACCAGTTCAATTATATAGTTCAGTTTTCTATCAGTATGTGTATATTTCATGAATTTTATGGAATGCAATCCAATCATGTATTAACTCAGTTTCAGGATATACTTGGTGGTTATGTTTTCAAAGCATTGTTGTTCTGTTTGTTTTAAGGAGACTTCGGATAGCACTGATTTTGCTTTAAAAATTAGTGAATATTTAAAATTCTCTTATTTTTTTGGAATGCCAGTCACAGATATTTGGGAATGTGGAATAAAATAATGTGGCATTAAGATTTTGTTTCATCTATTTTGGTTTCTGAAGTCTGAAGATGATTTACAAGTGATTTCCAGGTGTATAACAGAAGAAGAAAAAATAAGTAACGATGTTTAAAACTCACAGAGACCAGGGTCCCATCCCAGGCTTGCAGTGCCGCCCCTGGGGCACACTGAGACCACAATTGAGACTGGGCATGCTGCGCACGCCTGTAATTCCAGTGCTTGGGAGGCTGAAAACAGGAGGATCACTATGAATGAGTCCAGTCTGTGTAATGAGACCCTGTAGACCCTGCAGACCCTGTAGACTCTGTACTAAAGACAAAAACAAAAAACCAAAAGCTTGCGCTGAATGCTCTGTATTACTTCCTGTGTGGCCTTGAATACATCTCAGTTTCTTTATTTGTAAAATGGCGAGAATATGTAGCTGCTTGGTGCTGTGATGATTCAAGTGTTCCTTCAGGGAAACTTGCCCAGTGCCTGACACAGTAGAGTCTGCAATACCAGCTTCCTTCTCTTCCCTTCGGGGTCCTTAGTGTTTGTTTTATTTACCCCATCATTAATTGCTTATTGATGCATGTCAACATACAGATGCCAAACAAACAAAAACCCCATACTACAGATGTGTGTGTGTGTTTTTTTTTTAAGCAAACTGTGTCATTCAGTATGGAGTATAAATGTGTAATGAACTGTTAACATAAGATGTAATATCTGAAATGTACATGAAATGCGTGGAATAGGATTTTATAGTAGCAGTGGTTTTCTATTTTGGCACGTAGAGGAAAAACAGAAAAAGTTTAATGAAAGAATGAGTAGAATTTAAACTAGAATGACAGGAGCTGAGCGAAAATAAGCAAAGCATGTTAACAGTAATGTTTAGCACTAACCTTATTGTCATCCTTGTCAGTATCATGGTGTCTCTTTAAATTCAGAGAATAGATCATTTTGAATAAACACCATGTGGAAGTCAAAAGGTAAATGAGAAGAGATGTTTAATATCTATTGTGGCCTGAAGAAGCCCTCATGAAAATGTTTTGTTGTGTAGGTCTCTCAGCGTACACTCACGTGGAACTTCCGTATTACTCTAAGTTTATTCTAATTGCTGCATACCTTGCTTCTTACAACCCAGCAAGGACTGACAAGAGGTTCTTCCTTAAGGTAATAGTAACATACTTTTTAAAATTTTATGTTTGAAGATCTTAGGAATATAGTTGGCATCTGTATACAGTGAGTCCCCAACTTGCGAAGAGATGTATTCTGGGAGAAGAATAAGTCAGATTCATTCATGATCTGACAAAGTAAGGCCCTCGCAATACTCCTGTGAAAGTTTACTGCCCAATTGTAAGTGAGGAGCTTACTTTGCATATGTTCCATCTCTGTAAGGCCATCCACCCGGAGAGCTCAAGAAGAATTGCATGTGTATTGAACATGTACAGACTGTTCTCTTGTCTTTTCCTTAACTATGTGGAATACCAGCTATTTTACTGCATCTGCATTGTGCTAGGTATTGTAGGTGGAGATCTTCTAAGGGGCACAGTAGATGTATAACTATTACGTCATTTTCTCTGATGGACCCTAGCGACCTTGGATTTTCTTATCTGTAGAAGTCAATCCCTTACGGGGACTGAGAAGTTGCTGAGAAAGACTCACGGATGCTGGCCCTAAACAAAGGCACACAGACACCCAATCTAAGCAAAGCGAGGGCTTGAGTGAGAGGCTGCCGTGCTGCCTTCAGTCTATATATCTTGAGTCTCAGCCTTCAGGTTACTTTAGGTGAACATAACAAGGTCCCATCTTATGTGTCCAAGGTTAGTGTTTAGGCTGTATGTGAGAACCGCGAGGCATCTGGAAGCAAGCACACAAAAACGAGTCCTGGAGTTCCAAGTGTTCTTGCTTGCTTACTGTCACCCTTGCTGCCCTGTTTTCTTTTTCCTCATCCACATGCCCTGCAGGTTATTTAGCACATCTCTATTTTAACTCTTATCCCAACAAGAAATAACAGTTGTGGAATTTCTCAACACCTCTAAGTTTCCAAGGAGAGACTAGAATAAGAAAGTAGAAATATATATGGTCTCACTTGCTAACAGTTTTAAATTTAGATTACGATGTGGCATTCAAGAGAAGGTAGGTCGTTTTACAGAGCAGAGGAAACCAGTTACAAGTTTAGGTCTCACGCCGTTCCATTTCCTCAGAATGTTCTGATCTCTTAAGGTCTTGGTCCTTGTCCTGGCATCCAGGGAAGCTACTCTTCCCCTTGCAGGTTTCAGTTTAGATGACCTCCCAGAATGTTCTTCCCTGCTCAGCCTGTGTCAAGTAGGTTTTCTTTGCTCTTATTTCATGTGATGTTTGCTTTCTTTATCAAACTTACAACATTTTGCAGTAAATTACTTTTCCTCCTTATCTGTTTCCTTGCTCTCTTGAAGGCCAGGACCACGTTTTTGTTTTCTCATGGTTGAATCCTGAGTGTCTTAAGTCATAGCAGTCAATATTTATTTGGTGAATTGCCATCTTCCCTTAAGAGATGAGTAAGGGCTTGTTGAACTTGCGAAGTTCTCTTTCTATAGAACTGTTTTAAACATGCAATTCTGAATCAATACAGTTAGTTCTTTTACTGTTAGTTTATTTTAAAATCTTTTTGTTACATGCAAAAGTAATCTTGCATCTGATACAAGTCTAAGTCAAGTATGCATAAAACATTGAAGTCTAATATGTACAAGGTGATCAGTAGAATAAAATAGTTAGAGTCTGAGTATTATATGCTGTGCTTTAATCAAACCATGTTTTTTGGTTAACAATTCTTTTCCTTAATTGCAGCATCATGGGAAAATCAAGAAAACTAACTTTCTAAAGAAACATGAAAAGGTATTTGCTTTTTAAATCCTGTATAACTAGAAACTTACAGATTTAGGATAATACAGGAAATGGATGTGCATTTGTTTTGCAAATTAGCTTGTGTTGACGTGGTACCATTTAATATTTTAATAGTTTCTGGTTACACTAAGTGCAGAGAAGGAAGGCCTATTCAAGTGAGCTGTTGCTGGAGATAAAATTGAATAGATAGTCTTTTCAGTAACTTAGTTGAAAAAAAAAAATCACCCTGAATTGTTTAAACACTACTGATTAATAGGAAGTTATTCCTCTTTTGTACTTTGAAGCACCCATGAAAATACATTTCAGAGTTAAGTACGTGTGCCAAAGACCCACAATGAATGTCAACACTGTACACTACAAACACTTACTAATGAAAGCACGTGTTAATGTTTAATTATTTGTCCAATCTTGCAAACCTATATCTGTTAATTTGAGCAACAGATTTGATGATTAAAAAGACATGATATAAAAACCATTGTTAATTTGCTATTCTTGTTTTGAAAATATGTATGATATGCATTACCGTAAAAAAAATTTTTAAAAATAAAAGGAGGAAAACTATAAACAAATGAGACAGCCACCAAATTTAGAATCACAAAGTAGGTAGAAACAACTCCAAAGGGGTCAGAGGAAGCTGATACTGAAGCCCTAACCTAAGCCGATTGGGCCTGAGGAATTGGGAAAAATTTCGGAATTAGGGGCACTAAGTACTTTTGAAAGTAGGGATGTGAGGCCAAATTAAAGCTGCTGAAGGAGTGTTCGGATGCTCAGCTCACTTGTCCCTAAGGGGTGCTTAGTACCTCTAGCCACTGTCGCCTGCCTTGGGAGAGGGTGGAGAACTCTGCATAGTGGGTTTGTGTCAGAAGCTCTGAGTTACTTTTCACTCATTACTAAAAGCAGTTGCTAAAAAGGTATCTCCAAAATGATGCCATTTAGGTAGAAAGCCATGGAATGCATGTGTTTCTGGATCCATTGCGTGAGTAGTAGCATAAAAACTGGCATGAGAATGATAAGGAAAAGCAGCACATTTTAGATATTCCTTCTAGGAAATAAAAGGAAAATGAAATGGAAGAGGCTTCAGAGGGCCTTCAGTCCATCTGTAATGTGATCACATTGCTTTGCACATCTTGTACGATTGTAGGATTTGATAAAATTGCGTGGGTAGTGCATGGGTATTTACTAACTTCTGTACACTTTTCTAAATGACTGATTTAGTGAGAGAGCCATAAAATTTAAGACCTGGAAAATGATTTCTAAGCTATCTTTTTAGATTATGCTAAAGTGAGTACTGCAGCTTTAATTCTAAGCATTCTTCTTTAAATGAAAGTTTTCTTTTGAATAAATACTCCCATGCATGTAAATATAATTTCCCATTTTATTTACCATTGCTAATGTGAAGTATTGAAATTTTTACACAGCTACTAAAATCCTTTAGGATGAAATCCTAATAGGATGAAGCTTGAACATCGCAGTTTTCAGATAGCCTATGTTGGTACTGTTCTTTTTAAAAAATTAAATTAGTATTTACTGTAAATAATCTTTCTAGAACTGTTAATGATGAGCAAGTACATTTTCCAGGAAGTGGTCCAGAGAAGAAGGGTGGGAGGGAAGCAGTAAATTCTAGTTAGAAGCTAAGAACCAGGCTTAGGTTATATGACAGTCCCTGTAGTCAAGCCATGTGCCATCTGGCTACAAGAGCAAAATGGCATCGACTGGATGGTTATGATTCAGTATCTGTTGATTTTAAGAAAGATTTTAAGAAAAAAAAATTTTTTAGCATGAGGCACATGCTAAAAGATGTTATGATCAGATCAGGTGGAGTTCCAGCTTAAGGACTACATGTAAATCTTTTAGCAGCTCGCAAACAAATATAAACACATGGCCATTGGGGAATTCATGGTACAGAAAATGAGGGCTCTAATATAAGACGGAAGTCCATGTTCTTTTATATGTTTTTGTTTTCAACAGACAAGCAATCATCTCCTTGGACCAAAGCCGTTTCCATTAGACCGATTATTAGCAATATTATATAGCATAGTGGACAGCAGAGTGGCTCCAACAGCGAATATCTTCTCCCAGGTGAGCCTAACCGTAGTGCGGCGGCCTCTCCGCAGCCCCCCTCAGCTGCTGCAGTTGCCTCAGTGCCAGTGTTCTTAGTAAGTGCAGCTGACTTTCTGCGTTAGTTCTGAAGACGTAAATTCAACCAGCCACACTTGGAAGAATTCTGAAAAATAAAACTACTTCTGTCTTACACAGGGGCAGACTTTGTCCTGGTTATTCCTTAAACCAGTAATGGTGAAGCTTTTAGAGCTTCCAGTGATAGCAGACAGCAGACTGTGGCAGGCCTGCCCTGGGTTCACCACCGCTGCCCTGAACAATGCAGTATGACGTATATTTGCAGCCATTTATAGCGTTGGCATTGCAGTAGGCATTACAGTCTAAATAATCTGCTGGAAACTTCAAGGGGAGGGGAGGATGTGCATAGGTTGTGTGTCAGAACTACATTGTTTTATATGAGCTGTGGGCATCCTCAGATTTTGGTATTTGGGGGTCCTGGGGCTGGTCCTTGAGGGTAGCAGGTGAGAGCTTCAGTTGAATATTCTAAATATATGATCTTCGGGAGTAATCTCTAGAGTTGTATATATTTACAAGCATGACCTAATGACAAAAGCAGTATTTTTGGATCTTTTTCTTATATTCATGGTTATTATCATGCTGTTGAAGTAAACAAGTGGTTTGATAATTAAATTGATGTTATATAAATATAATTTAATGGAAACAAATTTAAATTTTTTTGTACAAAGATAAGCAAAAGTGTCTTGTGTATGTACTTGCAGGTTCACGTGCTTAATTCCTCAAATCGTCACTAGATGGCGGCAAAAGCATAAAAATAGAAAATAGGACTTCTTTTAAAAAAGAATAAAGGGTCTGTTAAGACCATTTGTTTCATATATATAATTTTTGATTGAGAAATAGGTAAATAAAATTCTTAACTAACTTATATGAACAGTTTTGTCCCAAGATCGTTTTCAAACTTTGTAATCTATTATGATAGTAGCATTTAATTTTTCGTTTAGAAGAGTTGATAACAAAAATAGATCATTTTGCTGTAAGTGCATTTATAGGAAATTTTATATATATAAATTAATATATAAATTTATATATTTGTTATAAGCAGTTGGTCCTCACAATAGGTCAGAGAGATTAAGTTACTTTGTATTTAGTACAGGGTCTACAGGGTGTCACATAAATTTATATATATAATTTTTATATACATATATTGAGTACTTGAAAAAGGGTATTCCAATCAGTTGTTATGCTGTATAGCTACCTAGATCTAGCGCAGAGCTCTAATGTTGATAATCTTTAAGTGAATTTTCTCTCATGTCCTAAAATATTTTGTCTACAATTAGTTTTTAGTTAAACTTGGTACTTATTTTTAACTTTATCCAAAAGAAAAGGTTTTTGTTTTGTTTCTTCTATTGCAGTAACTGAAATAGCTTGTTATAAGCAGTTGGTCCTCACGATAGGTCAGAGAGATTAAGTTACTTTGTATTTAGTACAGGGTCTACAGGGTGTCACTAGTAGATCGGACTCCTAGTGATCCTCCTGTTTGCAGCCTCCCAAGAGCTGGGATTACAGACACGCGCCACCACGCCTAGTCTCAATTGCTGTCTCAGTGCGCCCTGGGGGTTGGTCCAGCACAGCAGGCCCGGGGATCGAACCCCAGCTCCTACATCTGCCTCTGCAAGCTCTTTAATCCACTGATCTATTTGGCCGGCTCCCAAATGACTTTCAAAAGTGAGAATTGGAGAATTAAAGCCTAGGAAGTGAGAGAATGCGCCTAATGGGAGCAGGAGGAGAGCGAGTAGGCGTCTGCTGCCCCCATGCCTGCACTTGCCCTTGTGGGCTACCAGAAGATAGGATGTTTTTCCTTTAAGGAGCTTATTATTCTGTAGGAAGTAAGTGTTCATAAAAAATGGTGTCCCAGGCTATAACTGAATGCTGATGCCACTGCTGAGAGCCACCACTGCTGAGACCCATAGAGCAGAGAGAGCCTCCTATGGAACAAGCAGAAGGAAAGAAGACCTCGCGGTCACGTGCAGAGGGGAGCCGGCTCTTGGAAGCAGTGGGCTTTTGTTGTTGTTCTGTACTTCTGATTTACATATATGATGCATATTTATTGTATAGAACTGAAATGGGTAAATAAAAAGGAAAAATAGTATATTAAAACCAGTTGGTTGGGGCCAGGGATATAGCTCAGTGTGGTTCAGCGCCTGTCTAGCAAGTGCAGGGTCCTGAGTTAGATTCTCAGCACCAGAAAAATAAAGATAAAACCAGCTGGCATCTTGCTACCCTCCAATGAGAGTAATTAGATTAGAGATTTAGGAAGAGGGGATAAGGAGACTAAGGTACGGGACTAAGAAAGCAGACGCGTGGGAATCGTCGCCCTGGTTTGGCCGTTGAGCTTTTGGGTTGTGCTGGAGGTCCTTGTAGTTGTGACTGCATCCATTGTGCTGGTGTTAACAGTCAGAGGAAGGGTCAGGGAGATAGCTAGGTAGAATAAGTGCTTGCCTGGCAAGCTCAAGGCCTTGAGTTCAATCCTCGGTACCGCAAAAAAAAAAAGAGAAACACAAAGGTAACTACAGTCAGAGGAAGA